TTGTTGGTTTTAAAATAATTTTTTTGTAATTCTGTAATTTTTTTGAAATGCTCTTTAGAAATTCAAGCAATTTTATTATTTGCTGTCAGAAAATAATTCAACATAAAAGAAATATTTCTGAAAAGTTTTGTAATGATAATTTTTCTACGTTTTCAGTAAACTTTTGCAAAAATTCACCAAGCTTTACGAAAAATTTATGAAAATCAACACACAACTGAAAATTTGTGAGTTATCAGATAATCTGAGGCAGGATTTCCCAGAAATTTACAAAAAACAAAAAATGAGAGGATATCAGCAATAACTCCTTAAGTCAACTCATCTCGTTTTACCACTTAACTCCAGAATTAATTATGAGAAATTCATAAACACTCAAAGAAAAAAAATCCCCAAAAATCTTATATTTCATCGCACAACGTGAAAGTAATTTTCCCACAACATTTTCCCCGCTGAATAACTACCAAACTTCTAACAAAATTGAATTTCTTTCTAACAATGTAATCAAACACTAGCACTTCCTCATTGCAAAGTTATTACACCGCCTCAAGCTACAACGGAGCCACATTAATGGAAAAAGATTCTTTACCCGATATGTGAATAATTTCGTGTTGTAACACAAAAAAAAAAGATATGAAGTGAAAAACGATTGGAATTTCAGGGTGAATTGTTAAGAAACCGATGGAAACTGGAGATGGATCATAAAACATACGGCATGTCATACAGCGTCAGCCGGTTTAACCCATAAAAAATCGTTAATTCCCGTTGATGCCCACCTCCTTTGAAAAACTTCCTTGTTCCTGGCGTCTTGAGCTCATATTTTTGGGTTAAAACAGAAGAACAAGACGAAGGACGCAGGGAGAACAAGCGGCCTGTAATTAGAAACATTGATGGGTGGAGCAGGGGTAAAGGGAGCGCCATCCATAAGACCAACATTCGGCTATGGTATAAGAAAATAACCTAGGCGTGGTGGAACTTTTGAAAGCCGTTTTTACTTTTTGACCTCATGGGAGGAGCTCACGTCCAAAGTCTGTTCATTTTTTTATGCATGAAATTCCTCGGTCTCATTGTTCTTTTGGCATTAGAAACCCATTTTCCAATACGATTTTGCTTCAATCCATCGGTCAACGTGTTCCCTGTCAATTCAAAAATATCATGTACTTGATTTAATTTTCCAATCGAATCTTGTCGACTCACGGATACCAGACGTTCTTTAACGACACCATAATTCAAGCCCTTAAAGACTACAGTGGAATTTAATGACCGTTACAGGTAGTTAATTTACTCCAAACGATCCGTAATACTAAATTAACGCCAGTTAATTGAGTATTAAGATTTTTTTTAACATGTTCGTGTTTTTCAAATCTTCAGAAAATATTCTGGCTTTCTCCTTCTCCTTTTCTTCTTTTTATAAGACAGAATGTCAATTCTCGACATCAATTTTTGTCTAAAAGGCAATTTAAATAGCTAAATATTCTTTTGTTCTCAAAAATTGTTCCCAAAAATAAAAAATTACAGGGATATTGCATCCCGTAGATATTGCATGTATTCGCTAAGAAATTAGCAATATGGGCTTTCTGGATTCTACATTTAGTTTCGAGAATGAAATCGTGTTGTCCGAAATTTTAGTATCATATGGCTTCTACGATTATTATATTGTTTGTAGATATCATAATAATGTTTCTGCTTGAACAAATGAGGATTGAAATAAACATCTTAAGGAACAATTTGATGGATTGAAGCAAAAAATACATATTATCCAATAGATATTCACGTGATTATTATTTTCGAAACGTAAAATACTCTAAATTTTCTTGAAAACGAATTAAATGGTTGAAGCTATCACTTCGATCTTTGTACACGATCAATAGAATATTGAAACAATGATTTTAACTCATCTTTCCATTTCTTCTTTATATTTTTTTTCAACTATCATAAGACAACCGATTTTTATAAAATGTAGAAAATTAAAAAAATTAAAGTGTGAGTCAAATTTTTAATCATGTTAATTTAATATGGCTCAGCCATATCTATATTTTCAAAAAAATTTCTAATCCAAAAATTTTCTAAACCGGTTCGTGAATAATCCGCAAGAAACTTGTAATGAAAATTAATACATACGATCTAAAAATCGTATGTTCAGAATTTTTGGATCATAATGGGTTGACGTAGCACACAAAAATGGAAACTCGAATTCAGTCAATAGCGAAGCATCCATTAGGAAGCCAAAATCCCGGATCTAAATGAATTTTTTAGTGATACATTTGACAACGTCATAAATAGAGAATCATCTTTTCCCGAATCACCCGCCGTTTTTTCCCAGTGTACGATGTACAATTGCTTTTTTTGCGGATCAAGAGTAATTTTTTCCGTCCGATGGAACTAGCCTCCAGAAGATTGCTTCCCATTTGAGTCTCAATACTCTGGCATCGTGCCGCGAATGCCGCGA